CTTTATGTATTTAATCCCATTCTATTAACCAATGTCTTTGCTTCTGACCTTCGATGATCCAGTTCAACCGTACTAATAAGCACAAATTACTCTAGAGTCTAGACAAACATTTGAGTGTCTTTTTTTATTGCTGAAGTGTGTTGAAATCTCTTCTTCTGCATTCTACAGTACGGCCGTAAATCTACTTTCCCTTCAGCCTGAGGTTATTCATTTCACGTTTGGTGTGGAAAGGCTTTTATATTTGCCAAAAATAGAACTTTTTTATTTTAAAAACAAACAAGCAAGCCCTGTCCAGATTTAAAAAGTAACGCAAAAGTAACGTAACGCATTACTTTCCATAAAACGTAACGTAATTCGTTACTTTTTTATGGAGTAACACAATATTGTAATGCATTACTTTTAAAAGTAACTTTCCCCAACACTTGTGATCAATGCGTGTGGCTTGGAAACAAATAGTAACAAGCAACCGCTTGAGTCACCGCGCGCTGTTTACATGTACATGCGACAAATACAGTAGGTGTGTACGTGAATGGTGCTAAAACACTCATTTATCAAATAAAAGACACATTATACGGCATGCTATTATGAAAACATTAGCATGAGCCGTGTTGTACATACATATTGAGCAATGGCAATTCTTTTAAACCTCCCGTTTACACAAGCACGTACTAGCTACTTAATTCATAAGCACAAACAGCAACAGCCAGTGCTGTTCCCTGCTAAAACCGACACATACTTCCTATTGATACCGATTATAGTACGTCAAAGAAAGTGAAATCCATCTGCTAATCTCTTGAACCACAGCAGCAGCGGTATTGCTTGTTGCTAACGGCCTAAATAAATCACAACACTCCTCCACACACACACACACACACACACCCACCCACCGCACCTTACCAGACTTGTCCTGGTCGTATCCCACCACTATGAAATAATCAGCCAGTCTAGCCATGGTTTCCTCTTTTGGCGAAATTCCGCAGCACAATTCAGCATTTTTCTTTCTTGAAAAGCACAGCCATGTTTGACACTGAGGGAGCCAGTGCGCCTGCGTGGACTCGCGTGCCTGGGCGTGGGTCCTGCATTCACTTGCACGAGCGATAATGAACATACCACACAATCAATCATATTTTCCTTGACGCGAATAATGCCATGTAATATTATAATAACGCAAAATGAATGACTGTTTATTTATTAATTGAGTCTTAGTGTGGACTATGCAAAAGTATGATCCACAGTATTTCAAATGTAAATGTAAAAGTTCCAAAATAATATTATATATAATATGAAATATTATCAAAATATTTGACACATCTGACGGTGGTGACGAAAACCTGAATTTGTAATAATTGTAACTATCAAATACATTGAATCAGTCAATTTTACTGCATTAAAACAAACACAACGCACAATTCAGCATTTTTCTTTCTTGAAAAGCACAGCCATGTTTGACACTGAGGGAGCCAGTGCGCCTGCGTGGACTCGCGTGCCTGGGCGTGGGTCCTGCATTCACTTGCACGAGCGATAATGAACATACCACACAATCAATCATACTGTGGAGTGATTTTCCTTGACGCGAATAATGCCATGTAATATTATAATAACGCAAAATGAATGACTGTTTATTTATTAATTGAGTCTTAGTGTGGACTATGCAAAAGTATGATCCACAGTATTTCAAATGTAAATGTAAAAGTTCCAAAATAATATTATATATAATATGAATTTAGAGTGACAGCTGCCCCTCATATTCCCTGATTTTATTACATTTTATTGAATGTCGGTGACGGTGTTGACAAAAAAGTGGGGACGCAACTTTAAAATCTTATGAAACATGCATGTGTCATTAAAAAAACAAACTTGCTTTGATAGGAGATATGATTAAGTGTTGCTTTTGATAAAACAAGCTCTTTTTCATCATTAAAAAAAAAACATTTTTATCCATTTTATTGCATATGAATGATTGAACCCTTCTCTGTGGACACACTGTTTTAGACGTAGCGAGAGGACATTAACAAACACAGATTTGATATAATAATGAGAAAATTCAATTGAAGGTGATAATTGTGTTAAATACATTCTATTATTAATCCCTCGTGACATTTAAAATCGAATATATATATATTTTTAAAGCTAATAGCAGTTACTATTGCTGGACCTGTTTTGTCCCACGTCTCAAGAATGACTGATATACAATATGTGATAATAATAAGCAGAGTTGGCCACTACAACTTTTTGTTTTACATTTATTTCTCAGGTGGGAGAGATGTATTCCAGCTGATCCCTAACGTAGATCAGGGCAGGGCAACTTCGGTCCTGGAGGGCCACTGTCCTGCAGAGTTTAGCTCCAACCCTAATCAAACACACCTGAACAAGCTAATCAATGTCTTCAAGATCACACAAGAGAAGGCTACAGTCAGGTGTGTTTGGAGCTAAACTCTGCAGGACTGAAGTTGCCCAGCCCTGATCTAGATCCTCTGGACCAGCTGATGACCATGCATCATTCAGTTAGTAAACAAGTAATACCAGCTATCAGTAGAAGGGTAACACATGGACCACATATAATCTCATTTATGCAGAATAGAACAGGAAAGTGAATATGAGGAAATATGTATTATAATCCACCATAAAAAGTTTTAAACACTGTCCCACTCTAAATATTTGTTACAACAGACCCTCACAAACAACTTACTGAAATTGTACCATCCAGTTCTCAATGAAAAACTAAAATAAACATTTCAAATTATTGATTTATATTCTTTATTCTCATTAAGAATAACGTGTTTTTCCATGTGAAGTGCCTAAAATCCAATTCACCTTGCTAAAAAAAAAAAAACGAATAAACTATTCTAAGATAGTTGTTTAGCTTATCTGTACAACAATTTAATGCTGCATAACCTTTACAAAAATAATGCTTTGCTATTTATTAATATATGTGATTATGCTTTGTTATATGAATGCTACTTTGATATATAGATTGATTGCCATTATTATTGTAATTTATTGTATCTAACAAGGTACTACCATCGTAATACCATGGTTTGCTCATACTATTTTTCATCTGTTTACACATGATCACTCTAAAACTACAACAGTATGAAGCATAGAGATGACAACTCAATGACATCAGGGTGTTTAGTGACTCATTGTTAACTGTAGCATTCCTAGGCATGTAACACAAGATCTACGTCCCACCTGCATCTGTGGGTTCCCTCATCATACATGGGTTCATTAAATATCAACAATCCTTGTGATGGCTACGATATGTTGATTTGGCAAACAATATTTACCATATTTGGGCTGAGAAGCAAACAACTGGATGGTGTCAGTGTGTGGATGTTGTGCAATCTTTGATTTCCCATATAAGGATAAATCAGGGTTGCACAGTAATTAACATGAGCTAATGACATTTTTGTGAAACACATGTTGGCTGTTCTATGAAAAATCACACAAATGAATTTTAGAAATCATTTTATCAGAAGAATTTAATTTGATCTAGTCTAAAGTGAGGGGGGAAACTAGGTGAAGGTCAGTGGGCATTCTCCCAAAAAATGTAAATGTATCGTTATCTGTGTTTATTATTCAGAAATAGAGAGTCTTACCTCTTACATAGAAAATCTGACAAGTGTAACTCAAAGGCACTTTAGTAGTCTTAGATCAACTCTTTGATCAAATCTTTCCGTACTGTTATATAAAACTGTTCCGTTTTATATCTGATCTTATTGGACTATTAAAAATTATTTTCTTTAATAAATAATTATTACATTATATTATATTATATTATATTATATTATATTATATTATATTATATAAAACCAGATTGATTGCACTGGCCATTATTTTTATGCAGAATAGTACTTTTATGTCAAGTTAAAGATTTGTCTTTTTGTCTTTGTCAGATAATAGCTGTACCCCCAGCCAACATCCAGATTTAAAAATCATGAGCAATGTAATAGAAGAAACTGAATTCATTGTAACACTGGGATTTTTTAAAGAAAATCTAAGAATTCCCAAGATTGGCAGTTGGTTATTATTCCCAGAAACTCTGATAAAAATCCATTAAGTAATTTCAGCAATAACCCATCAATATCCCCAGTTTCGTTTTGCTCTAATTGAGGTTGTTATAGAGAGGAAATGCTGGGATGAGAGAGTGTGTTAGATATGCCCCTCCCATCTCCCTGCAGTATAAATGCACTTACGCCTGCTGTGGAGAGTCAGACTATTAGCAGAGTATCACCACTGCAACAGCATTAACAGCAAGTGAAACGCCTCTGGATTACTTTCTACACAGACTTCTGAAGCCAACCCAAGACTACTTCAACACAGGTATGCATTTTTAAAGGAAGCTTATGTGTTTCTGTTAGCTGCTCAGTGTCTTTTCTTTTAGGGTCAAGGCTCATATGCATAGGTTATCTGTAGTTATATAAGAAACTGAGCCCCAGTTTTGCATCTATAAGCCAGGGAACTTGCTTCTGTCTGTTAGGCAAAAACGTAATCTCATTTGAAGGGAATTTGAGTGATTTTTTGAATTAGGTGCGGATGGAGTTAAAGACACTGTGTTTTGTAAAAACCCACTGTTTTGTACATCATTGTCCCTTTTACTGCTTATCAGTGACCTGAAGCACAGTTGCAAGTTTACTTATTCATAGAAAGTGCGACCTCAGTTTGACATTGTAAATAAATGCATGATGAATGTAAATAGCGTGGATTTTGGACTCTTGTGCAAGCGTGAGCAAAGCATGGTTGACACAGAGTAGGGGAGCTGCATGCAGGTTTCAGCTGCTTCCTTTCAAAGTGGATATCTAACAGATGATTCATTTGCTTTTTCCTTCAAGGTTTCAGTCACGATGCAACTGATTCTGCAGTCAATCTTCTGCTGCTGCCTGCTGGCCACCTTTGCACCTGGTGTGAACGGTGCAAAACATGACCTGAAAAGAAGGTAAGCTGATGTGTTGATTTAGGATTTTTAGTCAGGGTTGGAACTGGTTGAAAAGTTTCTAATGAACATGTTTTCTCTACTTGATACTTAGTGTCCGGCTGCAGAGATCAAGAAGGGATTTGATCCTTGCTGCACTGAGGACTTTAGACAACAGCCAGTTTGTCAGACCGGACGATGTCAAAGACAACTTAAGGCAACATTCCAGGTAAGAATTATCAAGTGTTACCAGCTGAAAATGTATGTCATTGTTTTCTCTAAGTTAAGTGTGGTTTCACATGATGAAGTTGGAGTACAAACTTGTCAACCAAGGAACATTCAACTAAAAGCAATTGCTCAGGAACTCCATGCAGGCATTAATGTCCTCTTCCCTTGTCTGCCTTTCCAGCACTGGCATCAGCATAAGGACAAAACGCTCCAAGAACTCCATCAACCAGTCCAGGAGAGCGGGCTGCTCGCTTGGCACCTGCACGGTGCATGTGCTGGCACACCGTCTCCATGACCTCAACAACAAGCTGAAGATCGGGAATGCACCCGCTGACAAGATCAATCCCTTCGGGTACGGCCGGCGGCGAAGGTCCGTTCCAGAGAAAGTAATGACACTGAGACAGGAGGGCAGCAGGCTGGGGATGGTGTGGAGCAGCTCAAACTCTCAATCACGGCTGCACAAGCTGGAAGCGCTGCTCAGACAGACATGAGCGCACGGGGTGGGAGCATTTGGGGACGCTGCGACAGAGGCTCGCCGGCCAGCTATGAAATTCTAGAAATGCCTCAGACTCCTGCCAAGAGTTCTCCAGCGCATTCTTTTCCAAGCACAGGGGCTGGAAGAGCAATCTTGCCTTCCTCGGAAGAGAAATCAACAAAGAGAAGCGCAGAAACAACAGCAGCTGTTGAAAATGAGGAGGGGATGCAGATGGAGAAACTGAATAAGTGTGCCTTGGATATGAGCAAGATATCATTGCACTGAATTAGACTGGCCTCAGGGAAAAACAGAACCTCCTCTCTTGGGACAAATGGACTGCCCTCCTGGTGAACCTATCGGTGGGAATTCAGCCTCTAGTTTAGCTGTTCCTGTCCAGAGACTGTCAGAAAGTCTTT